CATTCAATTCAAACGTTTTAGGATGTTGAATCTGCCATGCATGAATACTTCCTCGTTTATTAAAAGAAACTTGACCAAAGGCCAACACTCTCTCAGTTTTCTACACCATCAGAGGCTCAGAAAGACCGCGAGATAGCGTTTATAGTTTTGGGGTTGACTGGTGTGTCCATATTTACCTACGTTATTATGCATTTTGACAGATGATATGATAAGTGTACAATCATGAATCTGTGTAGATATACACTCATGGGGAAGTCAATTCAATGTCAGAAACCATGCGTTGGTATATATTGTGGTACTCATGCTTTTTCCATCAGACAAGGAAATGTAAATTATACGTGTTCTGTATGTGGGATAGGTGTCAAATGCCGTTATTGTTTATGTAAGAAACACGGTGCTGATAGGGTTAGGAAGCAGATTATTTACGCTAGAAAGAGAGATTACATCAACGAGAGGAATAGGTTGGGGAGAATAAGATAAATTGAAATATAACCATTTAGAAATTTGATTCATTTTGTATATACCACAACGGTTTTCGTCAGAGAGCTGAAAGTTTTGGCAAAACAACGTGGTCTACGTGGTCATTCTCAAATGAGAAAAGCTGAATTGATTGATTTACTCAGTTTGGACTACAACAAAAACCCAGACCCCAGAACTCAAAGCTCAAGCGAAAAAAAGTGGGTTGAGAGGTTATTCCCAAATGAGAAAAGCTGAATTAATTGATTTACTAGAAAAAGATGAACCGGTTATTGATAAAAATCAACCAGATGTTGATGTTGATAAAAATAATCAACCCGTTGAGTTGAAATTTGTACCCACAGCCGGCGTTGTTAAGTATCTAAGAGGTTGGAAGATGGATATTAATTCCAACATGGATGTTAATGATATTAAGCACATCAAATCGAACAAAATTAATGAGGAGTTAGATGATTTAAATAGTATAAAATACCAGCTAACGGTTAAAATGTCATTGAGTAAAAATGACACCGAATATACCAAACCTTTTTTTCCAGAGCAATCAAGAAGTTATACCCGAACCCAAAATCTATAAACACATCTTTATATACATCAATTCAACGGATACAAGAAACTTTAGAACGCTGGACTAATAGAGGTTCGGGTTGGGGGTGTGGATAAAATAGATTATACGCCTTTCAAAGGTGGATCTTATATAGATTTACCCCCGTACTATAAGAAGAAAAAAGCTGTAGTTAATGTAAAAAATAAAGGCGATGGTTGTTTAAGAATTGCGATAAGATCTGCATTGCTCACCGAAGACAAAAATCCAGATAGGCCTTCTAGCTATCCCCAAAATGATGGACTCAACTTTGATGGTATAGACAAACCTACACCAATCTCACAAATTGATAAGGTGGAAAAGCAAAATAATTTAGCTATAAATGTTTTCAGACATTCTTCTTAAGTAATTGTTGTACACAGGATAAGCTCTGCTCCAGAACATATTCCCAGAATCAATTTATTTCTAATCGAAAAAGATGATAAATATCATAATACATGGATAAAGAGTTTAAGCAGGCTATCATGCGATCCAACAAAACATGATGGAAAGAAATATTTCTGCAAAAGATGCCTGCATGGATACAGCAGACAAGATCTATTAGAAGCGCATAAAGAAGACTGCAGAGGTGTTGGACAAACTGCTATCAGGATCGATATGCCTAAAGAGGGAAAAAATATACTAAAATTTGAACATTATTGTAATCAAATGCCAGTACTGTACATAATTTACGCCAACTTCGAAGCACTTATCAAATGCCAGTACTGTACATAATTTACGCCATCTTCGAAGCACTTATCAAACCGATAGTAAATACCGAACACAATACTGAATGTAGTTTTATGTACAAAACTCAAGAACATATTCCTTGTGGGTTTGGATATATAGTTGTAAGGTATGTTGGGAAAACAAACCCGCCCGTGATTTACAGAGGTCCTGATGCAGCAGGAAAGTTCCTAGAATATCTATAAAACGAAGAGAGAATAATCAGAGAAAATTTATCCAATGTGTATGACTAGGGATGATTGGAGGGCCTATAAGAAGTCAAAGAGTTGCCATATTTGTAATAAACCCCTGAATGGGGATTCAATAAGAGATCATTGCCACGTCACTGGTTATTATCGGGGAGCCGCGCATAACGAGTGTAACTTGAAACTTAAAATGAATTCTCAAACAATACCCATCCCCGTTGTGTTTCATAACCTTAGGGAATATGATTCACATCTCATCATGCAGGCTATCTCAAAGACCGACGGTGGCTTAACGTGCATTCCTAATAAAATGGAAAAATACATTTCATTCTCGTTGACTAAAACTATACATTTTACGGACAAGGATGGGAAAGCAAGAACAAAGCAAAGTAATGGACGTAGATTCATAGACTCCATACAGTTTCTCTTATCTTCCCTGGACAATTTAGCTAATGTGAACAATCCCGATGACTTTGCAATAACAAATAAATATACTGATCGGTTAACACGGCATTTGTTGTTGAGAAAAGTTGTATATCCTTACGAATATATGGACGATTGGTCTAGATTCGACGAAACTAAATTACCACCCCTTGAATCATTCTATAGTAATTTAACAGAATCTAAAATAACCGATGCCGATTATGAACTTGCTCTGACGGTGTTGGATAAATTAAGTTGTAAGAATTTAGGTGATTATCACGATCAGTACTTAAAAACCGATGTGCTGTTACTCACCGATATATTCGAGATATTTAGAAAGACATGTATAAAACAATATGGCTTGGACCCGTCATGGTACTATTCCAGTCCCGGACTATTGTGGGATGCTTTGTTGAAGAAGACCGGTGTAGAACTAAAACTACTCACCGATTACGATATGCACTTGTTTATTGAGAAAGGATTAAGAGGTGGTATATAGATGACGGTGAAAAGGTATTCTAAGGCTAAAAATAAATGAGTGGAAGGATATGATCCGAGTAAACCTGATACGCACATATGATATCTCGACCCCAACAATTTGTATGGATAAGCTATGGGTCAACCTTTACCCACGGGTGGTTTTGAGTGGATCGATGTAAATGATATTGATGTGATATCGATCCCCACAGATTCTGATAAAGGATACATACTTGAAGTTGCCTCGGAATATCTAACTTCATTACATAAAGACCATAACCGTTATCCGTTTGCTCCCGAAAGATTAATGGTTAATAAAGATTGGATGTCGGAATATCAACACTCCTTGATGGGTAATACTAGGTTAGCTAACGTAGAAAAACTCGTACCAAATTTGATGGATAAGACGAAATATATAGTTCACTACAGAAATCTCCAGTTGTATCTATCGTTAGGTATGAAACTTAAGAAAATACACAGAGTTCTAAAGTTTGATCAAAGCCCTTGGATGGAGCCCTATATAAGGTTGAACACAGATTTAAGAAAGATAGCTACCAGCGATTTCGAAAAGAATCTATATAAGCTCATGAATAACTCAGTATTTGGTAAAACTATGGAGAATCTAAGGAAGCGTGTTGATGTTAAATTGGTCAGATCTAATGAGGATGAAAGACTTTGGGAACTTATAGCCACTCCGGCTTTTAACAGAAACAAGATATTTGATAACGACTTAGGGGCGCTGCATATGAAGAAAAGTAATATAAAATTCAACAGAACGGTGTACGTTGGTATGAGTATTCTTGACTTGTCAAAACACTTAATGTATGACTTTTATTACAACAGACTTAAGAAGCAATACGGCGATAGATGCGAGGTGTTATATACCGACACAGATTCTTTGTTGATGGAAATACAAACCAAGATGTGTAAAAAGATATGGCAGAAAAAACTAGGTATGTACGATACAAGCGATTACCCAAAAGATAATCCACTGAACTGCATAGTAAATAAAAAGGTATTAGGTAAGATGAAGGATGAATGTGCTGGGACCCCTATTGCTGAGTACGTCGGATTAAGACCTAAGATTCTATATTCTATAAAGAAGTCTGATAATGGGGAGATAAGAAAAGCTAAGGGCGTTAAGAAGTATGTGGTAAAAAAGCATATCAAACATGAACAGTGTAAAGAAGCATTATTCAATGGTAGAACATTCAAACACGAGATGAACTCTTTAAGAAGTTACAATCACAGAAAATATGAATTTAGAATGAACAAGACATCATTATCCCCCTTAGATACAAAGAGATGGATCGATAAGTATTTTTTTTACTACCTGTGCTTATGGTTATGGTGGTAATACTGTATCGTTGGGAACTATGAGCAACTCTTCTCTTACAAATGCCTTGCCTGGTCCATCTTTAAGATAATAAAGAATAGGCTCTCCTTCTTTCATAACCAACCAACTAATGTTATATATCTTAAGAGACCCAATCGGGTCGGTTGCGCGACGTAGGCCTCCTTCGAGTTCACCAGGCTGGTATAAATATCTTTTGCTTACCCTATCCAGAAGTTTTTGTTCTTTGCCTCTCCTCGGTGCTGAAGAATCGGAAGTCTCAGATTTCATTTTAATCGCCTCAGTTGGTTTCTTCCCAATTAATCTTGTCACTTCATTATTTAGCGCCGATACAACAGCTGATAATCATGTCACCCATTCGGTTGATCGTAACCATTCTGATTTCATTTCAATCCCATACTATCATAGCCAAACAAACGTTCCGCTGATGTCCGGTTAAATCTTTCAACAATAGCTTGATTACGGTGGGCTTCTTTTTCACCACGCCTGATTTCGACATCGTGCTTTCTTAACAGTTTAGTTACTGATCCCATAAACTCGCGACCATGATCTACTTGAAATAGCTTAGGCCATTTTAGTGGTCAGCGTTTATATATGCGACTCGACTGCATTAGCTACTTCTGTTGAATCTTTTGAGGTTAATGGCTCAGCCTCCTTGTATTGACTAGCCACATCCACTACTGTTAAAGCACATTTATACGTTTTCCTTATTACCTTATCATGGAGAAGAAACAACAGGTCAGCCTGATATCAAACTTCTTCCTCGGGATATAACGCAGTGCCGGTAAGTATATTTGCCACATCACTTGTTTCTTTAACCAATCCTTGGCCACATGTTTAGATACCTTAGCGGCAGTGGCTAATTTTTGTATTGCTCCTATACCTTTCCAATATCCTTGTGGGCTATAGTAAATTTTATCCATTATTATTTGATATCTTTCCTGCCACAAGCTGACACGCCGTGATATAACTGGAATACTGTTAAAAGCAGCATTAAACCCAACTCACTCACTAATATTGATGATTCTTTTAATACAATTCATGACAATCATTGAATCGCATCATCATTTTTACATAAAAAAATCCCTCTGTGGTAGTGGTATAGGTATATAAATCTGGCTCCAGTGGAAGTGAGCCAGAACTGTCATTGTCTATACTACTTTACTAAATGCTACTTGGAGAATGAAGAGAATGAAAGAAGCATGACCACCGGACTACTAACGTGCGCATGCGCCTTGACCTTCTCATATTACGCATGCGCACGGACAGCATCTAAAAAACGAGAACGAGAACTTGAAATCGCAAGAAAATGAAATGTCGCATTCTCGCGTTCGCGAGATTTTGTGATTTTGTGGCCTAATTTTACAAGTCGAGATTGCGAGATTGTGAGATTTTTCATCATGTCCAAATGTCACATTCTCGCGTTGTCGACTTTTGACAACAAGTGCTATGTATCAAAAACACGAGAATGCGAGATCACGAGAACGCGATATTTTGGGCAAATCTCGCGTTCTCGTGTTTTTGGCATATTTAGCTCGTTTCGAAAGGTCGAGATCGCAAGAATACGAGATCGCGAGAATGGCCCTTACAGTATTCCATAATTCATGCAAATGCTGCAAACAGAATTAGAGATTATTGACAGTGAGAGAGTTGAGCTTGGCGATGCATTGGATGAGTTTAAAGCATCCCCCATTGCAGGTATGTGCGATAGTGTGTGGAAGTCATCATTTTTACCAGTCAAAATAGGTTGGATTCTTTTGGATCTTCATTGTTTACTATGTCATGACCGTTGATCATTATATAGTCAAATTTATCTAGATTAACCGCTCTTTTCGATGAAACATTTTGGTTTATGAAACCTGACTGATACAGGAAAGGTGATGACAGACCAAGGAATGGATGTGGTTCAGTAGGATTCGAACTCAGGACCAACGCCTTTCTTATTTCCCATATTATAAGATTTCAGTTCTCGTATCTTATAAATGTTTATAAATATATTTGTTTATCTCTACAGGATTACTCCATTGCACGGGTTGGAAAGTTTATTCGACTATTCCTGGCTTTAAGTCTTGCCGGCGGCATAGCAACAATCATGGTTGCACAAATTGACACTACTGTAGTTGCAGTCGGCCCTGTCCTCGCCACACAGACCCTGCCACCCGCCCATGGCTTCCTGATCGACACCCCAGCATGTCGCATACCCAACCTAGATCCTTTCGACAGCTCTATTTCACAATTTATACGACATCAAGGGAAGATTCTGTGTTCTGGGAAGCCGTCAATAACATACGAAGATGGCAATGTACTACGAATCAATTGGACAACAGTGAAGGATTTCTATGAAGGTGATTTTAAGCACTGTAAATATCAACCAATCATGCGAAACCAGTCCGATTTCAAGTTCTTTTATGACAAGTTTCGAGATACCTTTAACCAAGATGTTGAGATTTCAGAGGAGTTTGTAAGAATCTATTGTATAAGCAATTCTGAGAGTACGATTAACACCAATTTCCATTCGCTGATTATTCCCAAAGAGGCTGTGGATGAAAGATGTGAGAAAAATATTAAACATCATGTAACGATAAACAAGCCAAAGGAAATAATGAATGTTGTGATGATTGGAGTTGACTCTATGTCCAGGTTAAATTTTATGCGACAGATGCCATTGTCGAGAACATACCTTCTTGAGGATTTAGAAGCTATAGAAATGTTGGGATACACTAAAGTAGCTGATAACACATTTTTGAACATTGTACCATTGACAACGGGCAAATTTGTTGCCGAACTTCCTTGGAATAGAACTATGTCAAGAAAACCGTTTGATGGCTATAATTTTATATGGAAGAATTTTTCGAATTGTGGGTATAGAACTCTGTATGCAGAAGATGCTCCTGATATGAATGCATTTACACTTTTAAAGGAGGGTTTCCACTTTCCCCCGGCAGACTATTACAACAGGGCGTTTAGTTTTGCCATGGAGAGAGATGGATCTGTGTGGAACAATGATCATAAATGTGTTGGCGACAGGTTGGAGGCGGAAATAGTTTTGAAATATACCGAGGATTTCTCGATACTTTTCCGAGACAAGCCTCACTTTGGATTCTCATTTCTAACGAGGCTCAGTCACGACGATGTTAACGTCGCAGGTGCAGCCGATGATCCTCACTTTCGGTTTCTTCAGCGAATACACAAGTCAGGCCTTCTAGAAAAGACAATTTTGATTTATTTTAGTGACCATGGGAACCGCATCGGCCACATTCGGAACACATTTGTTGGAAGACTTGAAGAGCGTTTGCCTATCATGTTTTTTGTACTTCCTCAATGGTTCAAGAAAAAGTATCCAAACGTAATTGAAAATATGAAAACGAATTCTCGCAGACTGACGACTCCGTTTGACGTGTATGAAACTCTGAAGGACATATTGTATTTCGATGGGACCCTTAAACAAGCAAGTGTGACGGATCGTGGTATTAGCCTGTTCAGTGAAGTACCACGTGACAGGTCATGTGACACTGCTGCTATCTTGCCTCATTGGTGCACCTGTTTAGAAAGGGAATATGTCCCTGTAACGTCAGTTAACGTAACCAACGCAGCTAAAAGTATCCTAAATCATATCAATGAAGAGCTTTTTGATTATGGTCATCTTTGTGAAGTTTTGAAAGTCCAAGAAATCAAAGAAGCAGTTTTGATGACCTCAAACAAGGGGGTCCTTCAACATTTAAAAAATACCAGAATTAAGGCAGTTCTGACATTTCAGTTGACGTTCGTGACATCCCCAGGGGGAGGGTTGTTTGAGGGGACAGTCAACCTGGACGAAACAACTGGAAGATATTCCACAGCAGGTGACATCAGCCGAATCAACAGATATGGAGACCAGTCAAAATGTATCGATAATTTTCATTTACAAAAATATTGTTACTGTAAGACTGCATCAAGACAATGATTGATATATTCATTATTTAGTATGCAGCCAGTTGTAAAGTGTTTCCGAATCAATAATATAGCATGGCTAAAGAGAGTGAGTGTTGTTTTGCACCACAGCCACACGTGTTTAAGCTCCATCACGGAGTCATTTATGTATTAAATCCTAGATCCGACAATCCATAGGTATGTAGTTTTGTTGTAGAGAGAATTGCCGTTTGCAGTTTGATAGACTTGTTTTTGATAATGGTGAGGTCCTATCATTTGATCTTGAAAACAACTGTGTAGTTGACCTCAAGATCTCTTTCCCCGTGTCAGTGGGCATCTCATCTCAAGTTACTTGAAAGAAATTGGTCTGCATAATAAATTTTTAATATGGATGTGAATAATTTATCACTTGTTTTTAAATTTGGTGTGATGCTTTTACAAGCTGACATTATTGAAGGCTCTGTCCAGGAGTTAAAAGTACCGTCAATAATCAATATCAATAATGACGACTAATATGAGTATTAGCATTGAAACATGTATCGCCTCTTTTAACAATATTCCCACCATAACATTGTACCCATATGTGGAATAGACGGTTTTCGGCCTGTTGAAGCAATGCACATAGCTTGGCCCTCCCACTGCCCCTTTTTAAAAATGAGAAAGTGATTAAAGCGTCTGACTTGTAAATGAAACTGTTAATTTGCCAAAAGAGTTTAACTCAAGTGAACTGTTCAACAACATATCTGATGTTTTACACAACAAACTGGGAGTCACCCAGAGAAAGTTTGTCCGACGTGCCAAAGGCTTCTATCATTGGTACATGTAGTTTGGCGGTATAAGTTGTAACATGGAGTCGATATATGTTTATATGTTCTCTCACTAAAGTACGTTCAATATATCTATTTAGATAGTCACAGCTGCCTATACTTAAAGTCTGACAAAGGCCTGTAGGCCACGGGACATTTTGACAGCAGAGAGAGAGGTTGGCCGACCTAGATCTCGGAGGTGCCAGCTGGAGACGATATGCACGATTATGATATGGCTGCATAAAATCAGTGAATAAAGTTTGTTGACCCACAAACAGACTTGGGTTGTCAAACCTAGAAGTATTCGGTAGAGCGCCAACGTCTTCCCGGGATACTCCCCTCACAGATCAGAATGCGAGCCCACCATAACAACATTTGGATGGAGCACACATATATAGATAAATGTAAACTGTTATTCTTTGGTCGACTATGTCGAATAATTCCTTCATATCGGAAAAAATCCGTTCATATGGCCGTTAGGCAATTGTTCAGCAGGATTCAACAGTAGACGTGCGATAGATATGTCTTCAGTGCTGCACATAAACGACTTTGTTATTTTTGTGCCCAAGATGACACTTCTATACATGTAGTGAACTATTTGCTTGGAGGAGATCACAACATTTTATGTCGTGGTTAAAATTTCTCGATGTTATGTACATAATTGCAGAATATACATTAGATATAGCATATCATGATCGTTACTGTTCATTAGCATCTGCCTAGAAGGGCATTCTAAATTTATATTTTTGTTATCAGATTTTTAGTTAATTACAGGTCATTTGTGTAATGACATTATTCACTCAAAACTAATATTTAGCCATTGTGAAGACACGCAGGTTATATACAAGTATTATGACACATACTTCAACTAGTTTGTAACAGAATTAAATGTTAATTAAACATTTGGCCCATGGGCCAGCAAAGTTTCCTTTGCTCAAAACTCATTTTTGTAGCTTTCTAAACACACGATTTAACTGATTTCTAAAATAATGTAACCACGTTTAGCGTTATTTGTCAAATTTTCTTTTTGCTCAAGGCTCGTTTTGTTTCTTTTGAAAAAAACCCACAAAGTTGTAAACACAATTATTGTGACAAATAATTCAACTTATTGTCAACATAATTCAACAAACTTTTAGTGTTGTTAAAAACATTTGGCTCATAGGCCAGCAAATATTCCTTTGCTCAATAATTGTTGGTTTTGTACAAACACAAAGGAGAAACAGCAATTATCAACAAACGTAATTCAACTTTTCAAATTAGTATTTAATTGGTATACTAATTAGTGAGCTCAGCCGTGGCCCAAATCACTCAAGAGTGATCAATTAAATCGCCTCTACCAGCACAGGTTGAGTGATATAGAGTGATTTGAGCCTCCTACACGGGCGCCATATGATTGGTCATTAACATTTATGCAAGGCGGAGCAAATGCCTCGTTTTATCGTCTATTTAATGCTTAAAAAAGACGACGCATTTAGGACAATGTCTAGACTTTCACCAAATAAGATAGACACAATTTTATGGATAACAACTTCTTTAATACAGTAAAAAGCGACGTTTCGGTATAGATCCTTATACCGTTGTCAAGCAAGACTGAATGAGGGACATAGTGCAGAATATATATAGCAAGTGGAGGATTAACAGTAGAGGATAACACCTGTTTATTGGCTTCATGGCCCATTGGCTTCTAGCTATGTGTTTTCTGTCCATCGTGTTGTGATAGCATCATCCTTGTTGTCACACCTACCTATGTTATCCCACTCATGTATGCCCTTGTTGTTACTGGTAATCCTCTACTGTTAATCCTCCACTTGCTATATATATTCTGCACTATGTCCCTCATTCAGTCTTGCTTGACAACGGTATAAGGATCTATACCGAAACGTCCCTTTTTACAGTATTAAAGAAGTTGTTATCCATAAAATTGTGTCTATCTTGTCTTCCGCCAACTTCTAAGTAATGCCTATCAAACAAGTTTTCACCAAATAATCAACTTTAATTAGTTGTACCTTAATGCTCGCTCAAGTAGACGTCATCTCGCCCGTGTGTGGATGATATGCCCTTTCACTCTCTCCAGCAGCTTACAACTAATAGGTGCCACTTATTTATTTTAACAGCATTGATCCAAAACAGAAAGACTAAAACACAGCCAGCCTTGTCAACAACAGTCAAGCGTTTGTTACTGTAAAGAGATATTTACGCGGCATAAATTATGTTATATTGGTGTTCGTGAAAGATACCAAACGCTTTGTTCATTATACATTTTTTGCTTTTATATTAATTTGCTGTAGAATATACATTGGTTTGAGTATGAAGTAACGATCTCGCAGAAAGTATCAATAATCTGAACTTTGGTATACGAGTTGATGATACTCCTCTTTTTATTTTAATGCATAATGATGACATAGCGTTAGGTGCCCCGTATGAAACCTCGCTACAAACTATGCTACAAGCTACGGACTATCAGTCCGGACTGATGCCGATTTAATAGTGCTAGCCTACTGAGATACCAGGCCGCGTTTTAGCCCCTTACTGATTTTATCTTACCGACACATTTCACTCTGCCATTGTTATACAGATGTTACATTCAATAAGTTTACTTCGTGTGCAGAATTTTATTTATCATTCTCTCTGTTAATGAGTCCTTCGGGTACATATATGATATTGACTAGGTCCAAGCTTGCACAAAAGAATTCAATAAGATACTGTGAGGCAGAGACTATTATCGTAGGCACTTTGTAGGTTATAGGTTTTTGGTAGGGAGTTCATGCATGTTTTACACATTCCCTGAGTTAAGAAAGCTAAATATTTCTTTCTTAAAATTCACAAGGCTGCCGAATACACATTACAGCAGCAACTGGGCTGTTATCACCATGATCGGTAGCATGGGGTCACGTGCGGGGTCAATGATTTCTAATTAACACTAGAGAATAGCCGGTTGGCCACTGGAACGAGACGTGGCAGCTTGTCAGTAATTTGACTTGTTAAAGTGAGTCGAGAGTTAACCCTCGGACAGCAAGACAGGTTGGCTTTTCTGTTGCCTGGCTACGTCTGTCATGTAATCATTATCATGATTATGTAGCTGTTATGTTAATTGTTATTATATCACGAATAAAGTGTATTTGACGATACCGATATCCCAATAACTTCAGCTCGGGATAGTTTAGTGTTATTTCTACAACGATGGTTGTTTACATGAGTATTGTATTGCTTACAACACTTGTTTCAACCGAACAACTAAACACATGTTTTATGTGCAAATGCTTCATGTATACGTGTCTTTATTATTCCGAACTGCAGCATTCGTTCTGAAATGTGATTGATCAGAACCGAGTGTTTGAATTATGGAGCATGAGATATGCTTGTTGTCGGGTAGCAGGTTGGCTGAACACTAATGTGCAATATCGGGTACTTTTAAAAATACTCATGTCAGATCCGTGAAGGTTAGAATAGGTCTTCAGCAACCAAATGAATGTTTGCCGTAATAGGCGACTATGCTTGTCGTAAGAGGCGACTACTGGGATCGATGGTCAGACTTGCTGACTTGGTTGATGCATGTCATCGTATCCCCATTGTGTGGATCGATGCTCAGGATGTCAATCTCTGGATTGTCTGGTCCAGACTCGGTTATTTACAGACCGCCGTCATATAGCTGGAATATTGCTGTGTGCGGCGTTAAACAACAAACAAACAAAAAAATCCTTTGTGGCACTACTTTTGACGTGTGCAAAACAAAAGTCAAAACAAGTGAATTTGGCCAAAAAGAAGCTTCAGCTTCAGGTATATCGATGATCTGATATCGTTGAATAACCATTATATAACCAATTCCTTTCCACTGATTTACCCACCTGAACTAGAAATAAAGACCAATGAGACCAATGAGACCGCCTCGTCTGATTCATATTGAGAGCAATGCATAAAGACTGGTACTACCAGTGGTGCAGGATACGCTCACCTTTGCGCTAGTATCATCATTTTGCTGGTGATTCGTGGACTCATGGTCATGATATGGTCGGGGGCACGGTGGCCCAGTCGTCTTAGGCGCCGCAATTCGTTGTGCAGAGTTGCGTCCATAGGGCACGCCAGAAACCTATGATTGTGGGTTGGAATCCCGGTTCGCCCCGATTTTGTTTCTAGGTACTAGTGTCAGCACTATATCCGTGGTCGTTGGTTTCACCGAAGTGGTAAACGTCTAGACTTGCATCACTTCGGAAGCTGACACGCCGTGATATAACTGGAATACTGCTAAAAGCAGCGTTAAATCCAACTCACTCACTCACTCACTTACTCATGATATGGTCGGAATTGTACAATCGACGCTGCTTTTGACAGAGAAATCTTTTGAACATGAACAGGGCTTTAAATTTGTGGCTTTTATTTAAGCATGCGCGTGTGTAAACTGTTACTTCAGTGGTAGTCACAATTTTATCGATGTAAAAAGCTTTCATTCCCCCAACCATCGTGTATGGTTATACAGAATGCAAATATCTAACGACTCGGCAAAGGGATAGGTTGGGATCGGGAGATCGAACTTATGCCACTGTGAACGGTATATCAGTCATTTTCACAGCTGACTTATAAATGGATGAGAAGCCAAAATACGGGTGCCATGCTGACAAACTTAGATAGTGATGGAGTTGAGTTTAACACCCCTTTTGACAGTATTCCAGTTATATCGCGGCGTGTCAGCTTAATATGGGAGGAAAGCCCGAAGTGATGCAGGTCTCTTCGGTGAAACCCACGAGCACGGGTATGGGACAAACTAAGAAGTATACCTGGGGCGAGTATCAATCAATGATTATATAATTCTGATAACCCTACGCGACTGCAGAGCAAATGTGACAATGTCAAACAAACCAAAATTGAAGAAAAACACACAAAAATGCTTCTGCCAGACGAAACTTGACATTTGAGATGAAAATAAGCTTGTTTTTGTCACAACTAACATGCCTACAAATGACTTATATTATTTTGAGAATCGTTTTAAAGGCCTTAATGTATCGCCAGAGGGTTCAGAACCAATATTTTATGAAGTTTGTACATTCAATTAATGATGTGTCGATTGACTCAACTTCGAATCAATTTGACCTTGATCGAAATGTTTCAAGCGAAGAAATTCGTAATGCCATTGCTGAAATGTCAAGTGTTAAAGCGCCTGGTTATAGTGCTGTGCCCACTGAGTTCTTTAAGGACCTTCCTATGTACTGTACAGATTTAACACGAGCTCTTTTCAATGACATTTTGTCAACAGGTATTTATATAGAATCGATGTCATTGTACCATTACATCAGACAGGTGACAAGGATACACAAGGAAATTACACGCATATTGCATTAGTAGAAGTAAAATATTTTCTAAGATTAGTTGTTACAGGTTCTACACATGGACAGAAAGTAATCAGTTATAAACTTCAGATAATTTGTGTGTGCACTGGATACTCTCAAGTAAGTACTTGTCCCTTTGTGTTTATTTAGGCGTTATTGATCTCAAGGCTGCATTTGATTTGGTGTTTAGAAGTACTCTTTGATTTAAATTATGGACTTCCGACTTTGAGGGTATGCTATTTCATTTGATATGAAATATATTTCAAAATGTAAAGTGTCTTTTGTCTTTTGGCCACAGATGTATAGAAATGTTTATGGTATTATTTACAGACCATATTGTGATACAGTAATGATATTTAGAAAGGCAGACCTACTTAAAAAAATGTGAAAGGTTTTATTTTGATAAAGACATATAAGACATCGTATCCATGCACATATCAGTTTTGGGTATCCATTTTCTACATCAGGTTCGTGGCATGTTACCCACACAGTTCTCTCTGATCAGGCTTTGAAGATTATCAGAATTGGTCGGTTTAATGTGTGTAATTTTATCGAAATGCTCTACGAAATTGTATTAATCATATTTGATGTCAAGGGTTTGCCAGTTTTAATGTATGGTACGGAAGTTTGGGGCTTTCATGCATCACTAGCAGTGACATGTGTTCCTGACAATTTCTGTAAAACTATTTTGCACTTGGGTAGAACTATACCAAATATAGAATCTACAGTATTTTCTCTCTCGGGTTAATCTCTATATCAGGAAGAGTACTGGGTAAGGATGTTCATTAGCAGGATAATATTCATTTAAAAAACCTTATGAATATCAGTACAATATAGCTGAAGATGGACGTACACGCTGGGCACTCCAGGTTAAGAAATTACTATTTATTTAAGGCTTTGGTTACATATAGAATAACCAAGACGTGTCTAGCTTTAAATACATTTGTATTTCTGTAGATAATCAAATTTAGTTTAAAATATAGTATAAAGTTCGAAAAGAAACTTGCGATTTTTTGTAATGGTTACATTGTTTAAATTGCGTACATTCCGTTCTTCAAATCTTAGACTATTTCTTGAAAGATGGGTTTGTCCTTAATAAAACATTATGTCCAATTTGAAGTGTTCCAATTACATAGTCATCTTTTAAAATTTGATGATATCATTCCAATTTCATCATATTGAATTTGTCATTTTCGCATTTGTTAGTTTGTTTTTGTTTAACAACATCACTTTGTTTCCCTTCCAGAAGGATAACTAAAGAATGGCACGGATAAGAAAAATTATTCGATTCTTTTTGGCTTTAAGTCTTGCCGGTGCCATAACAACCATTATAGTCACACGCTGGCTCACTCCGACAGTCTGGCGTAGCCCTGTCCTCGCCACACAGACCCTGCCACCCACCCATGGCTTCCTGATCGACACCCCAGCATGTCGCATACCCAACCTAGATCCTTTCGACAGCTCGATTTCAAAATTTATTCGACGTCAAGGGAAGATTCTGTGTTCCGGGAAGCCGTCAATAACATACGAAGATGGCAATGTTCTACGAATCAATTGGACAACAGTGAAGAATTTCTATGGAGGTGATTTTAAGCACTGTATATATCAACCAATCATGCGAAACCAGTCCGATTTCAAGTTCTTTTATGACAAGTTTCGAGATACCTTTAACCAAGATGTTGAGATTTCAGAGGAGTTTGTAAGAATCTATTGTATAAGCAATTCTGAGAGTACGATTAACACCAATTTCCATTCGCTGATTATTCCCAAAGAGGCTGTGGATGAAAGATGTGAGAAAAATATTAAACATCATGTAACGATTAACAAGCCAAAGGAAATAATGAATGTTGTCATGATTGGAGTTGACTCTATGTCCAGGTTAAATTTTATGCGACAGATGCCATTGTCGAGAACATACCTTCTTGAGGATTTAGAAGCTATAGAAATGTTGGGATACACTCAAGTTGATGATGGTACTTTTCCCAATATTGTATCATTGACAACGGGCAAATCTCTTGCCGAACTTCCTTGGAATAGAACGATGTCAAGAAAACCGTTTGATGGCTATAATTTTATATGGAAGAATTTTTCGAATTGTGGGTATAGAACTCTGTATGCAGAAGATGCTCCTGATATGAATGCATTTACACTTGCAAAGGAGGGTTTCCACTTTCCCCCGGCAGACTATTACAACAGGGCGTTTACTGTTGCTATGGAGAAAGATGGGTCGGTCTGGAACCATAATCATCATTGTGTTGGTGACAGGTTGGAGACGGACATAGTGTTGAAATATGCGGAAGATTTCTCGTTACTTTACCGAGACAAGCCTCACTTTGGATTTTCATTCCTAACGAGGCTCAGTCACGACGATGCTAACGGCGCAGGCGCAGCCGATGATCCTCACTTCCGCTATCTTCAGCGAATACACAAGTCCGGCCTTCTTGAAAAAACGATTTTGATTTATTTTAGTGACCATGGCAGCCGCTTCGGGCTTATACGGAACACATTTGTTGGAAGATTTGAAGAGCGCTTGCCTTTTATGTTTTTTGTACTTCCTCAGTGGTTTAAGAAAAAGTATCCAAACTTAATTGAAAATATGAACACAAATTCTCACAGACTGACGACTCCGTTTGACGTGTATGAAACTCTGAAGGACATGTTGTATTTCGATGGGAACGTTAAACAATCTAGTGTGACGGATCGTGGTATTAGCCTGTTCAGTGAAGTACCACGTGACAGGTCATGTGACGCTGCTGGCATCTTGCCTCATTGGTGCACGTGTTTAGAAAGGGAATATGTCCCTGTAACATCAGTTAATATAACCAACGCAGCTAAAAGTATCCTAAATCATATCAATAAAGAACTCTCCTATTATGGTCATCTTTGTGAAGTTTTAAAAGTTCAAGAAATCAAAGAAGCAGTTTTGATGATCCCAAACAAAGAGGTCCTTAACTTTTGGGGAAAAGAGACATATAAGTCAGTGTTGACATTTCAGTTGACGTTCGTGACATCCCCAGGGGGAGGGATGTTTGAGGGGACCGTCACTCTGGACGAAACAACTGGAAGATATTCCACAGCAGGTGACATTAGCCGAATCAACAGATATGGAGACCAGTCAATATGTATCGATGATTTTCATTTAAAAAAATATTGTTATTGTAAGACTGCAAGACAATAAATGGTTAATTAAATATTATGTTGTCAGTTGCCAAGTGTTCTCTATTTTTTGTGTATACTCAATCATAAATATAGCGGGCCTAAAGCGAGTGAATGTTGTTTAATGCCACAGTCCCAAATGTGCAAACAGACAAATCAGTGTTGCATGAGCATTGTTGTACAGCGTCAGGTAGGACCAGACAATACCATTTTGTATGGGAATTGTAGTAAGAAGTCAGGTAGGACCAGACACTTGTGGTATAGGACAATTGTTGTCAAGCGTCAGGTAGGACCAGAAACACCTGTGGTATATGAGAATTGTTGTCAAGCGTCAGGTAGCACCAGAAACACCTGTGGTATATGAGAATTGTTGTCAAGCGTCAGGTAGCACCAGAAACACCTGTGGTATATGAGAATTGTTGTACAACGTCACGTAGGACCATACACACCTGTGGTATATGAGAATTGTTGTAAAACGTCAGGTAGGACCAGAAACACCTGTGGTATATGAGCATTGCTGTCAAGCGTGAGGTAGAACCAGACACAACTGTCGTATATGAGAATTGTTGTCAAACGTCAGGTAGCACCAGACACACCTGTGGTATATGAGAATTGCTGTACAACGTCAGGTAGGATCAGAAACACCTGTCGTATATGAGAATTGTTGTCAAACGTCAGGTAGGATCAGAAACACCTGTGGTATATGAGAATTGTTGTCAAGCGTCAGGTAGCACCAGAAACACCTGTGGTATATGAGAAGTGTTGTACAACGTCAGGTAGGACCATACACACCTGTGGTATATGAGAATTGTTGTAAAACGTCAGGTAGGACCAGAAACACCTGTGGTATATGAGCATTGCTGTCAAGCGTGAGGTAGAACCAGACACAACTGTCGTATATGAGAATTGTTGTCAAACGTCAGGTAGCACCAGACACACCTGTGGTATATGAGAATTGTTGTACAACGTCAGGTAGGATCAGAAACACCTGTCGTATATGAGAATTGTTGTCAAACGTCAGGTAGGATCAGAAACACCTGTGGTATATGAGAATTGTTGTCAAGCGTCACGTAGGACCAGACACACCTGTGGTATATGAGAATTGTTGTACAACGTCAGGTAGGATCAGACACACCTGTGGTATATGAGAATTGTTGTACAACGTCAGGTAGCACCAGACACACCTGTGGTATATGAGAATTGTTGTACAACGTCAGGTAGGACCAGACAATCCTGTGGTATACGAGCTGTGACGTGGCCATTACAAAATTGAAACAGTATGTTGACCAGAAATCAGTAGTAACATAGTGTGAAACCAACAAACAACCAACAAGTGGTATACAATCAACAAATGTATTACACAATTCACTTTCTTTACAAATCAATACAAATTACTGCACAGCAATTACAATAGCAGTACACAATAGAGTGGCTGTACAATATTCAATGGCAATATATAATATGATGACAGTGGTCAGTATCAAATACAAAAATACAGCAGTGATAGCAAAAGTCAGTACTGATAGTATATTTACCCAATGGTGACAGCGGTCGAACTTCCAAAACGGGCCCAGGGAGAGATTCATAGGTGATGAGCGATCCTCACGCGGAAGCTGGTCTTGATACGTGAGCGATACGTAAACACGATCTTGTCTCCTTCCATAGTCTAACCTGCTACTGGAAATTTCTACACAGTGCCCTCACCAGTCTAGAGGCACTAGAACATCACAGAATATTCTGCATGAGTCCATGGTCTACCGGAAGTTTACACACCCCACTAGCATCAACATGTATCAACTTCCTGACGACTGCTTACGTTAAATACTACTACATTTCTGTTGTACAAGGTCAGTTAGTACCAGACAAGCCAGTGTTATATAAGCGTAGGACCAGTTAAACCTGTGGTATATGATCATTGTTATACAGCGTCAGCCAGGACCACACAAACCTGTTATATGACACATATGACACATATGACAAATATGACGCAAATGACACATATCACAAATAACATATCACGTATCACGTTTCACATATCACATATCACATGACATACATCCTGACACATAACACATATGAGATATGACATGTCATAATTACGGCCCAGGCGTCTGTGTTAATCACGACTTACATGCAATTCGAGCAACACATGACATATATGAGATATCACATATCACTTTACACATATGACATGTCACATATGACATGACACATATGACATGACACATGAGTTATCATTTATCAAATAGCACGTGGCAGCCAGAGCATTTCATATATCATATTACAGATGACACATATAACATGGCACATGGCACATGTCAAACAATGACATATTACATGACACATAACACATGACAGATATCATACATCACTTAACAAATGAAACACAGCACACGGCACCTGATATACATCCAACATCACCCATCACAAGACAGATGACACATAACATGTATTACGCATCGCATATTGCATATCGCATACTAAATGTCACATATCTTATCTCTCATATCACGTATCACGTATCATGCATCACACGTATATCACAAATCGCATACCACATATCGCATATCACATGACACGATGGCTCAACATCACACGTACCTAAGATACGGCACATGACACAGGATACATGATACATATCGCATATCACATGACACGATTGCTCAACATCACATTTACCTAAGATATGACACATGACACAGGATACATGATACATATCGCATATCACATGACACGATTGCTCTACATCACATATACCTAAAATATTTCACATAACACAGGATACATGATACATATCACATGACACGATTGTTTAACAACACCTATACCTAAGATATGACACATGACACAGGAAAAATTATACATATCGCATATCACATGACACGATTGCTCTACATCACATATACCTAAAATATTTCACATAACACAGGATACATGATGCATATCACATGAAACGATTGCTTAACATCACATTTACCTAAGATATGACACATGACACAGGAAAAATTATACATATCGCATATCACATGACACGATTCCTCTACATCACATATACCTAAAATATTTCACATAACACAGGATACATGATGCATATCACATGAAACGATTGCTTAACATCACATTTACCTAAGATATGACACATGACACAGGATACATGATACATATCGCATATCACATGACACGATTGCTCTACATCACATATACCTAAAATATTTCACATAACACAGGATACATGATACATATCACATGACACGATTGTTTAACAACACCTATACCTAAGATATGACACATGACACAGGAAAAATTATACATATCGCATATCACATGACACGATTCCTCTACATCACATATACCTAAAATATTTCACATAACACAGGATACATGATGCATATCACATGAAACGATTGCTTAACATCACATTTACCTAAGATATGACACATGACGTAGGAAAAATTATACATATCGCATATCACATGACACGATTGCTCTACATCACATATACCTAAAATATTTCACATAACACAGGATACATGATGCATATCACATGACACGATTGCTTAACATCACATTTACCTAAGATATGACACATGACACAGGAAAAATTATACATATCGCATATCACATGACACGATTCCTCTACATCACATATACCTAAAATATTTCACATAACACAGGATACATGATGCATATCACATGACACGGTTGCTTAACATCACATTTACCTAAGATATGACACATGACACAGGAAAAATTATACATATCGCATATCACATGACACGATTGCTCTACATCACATATACCTAAAATATTTCACATAACACAGGATACATGATACATATCACATGACAAGATTGCTTAACATCACCTATACCTAAGATATGACACATGACACAGGAAAAATTATACATATCTCATATCACATGACACGATTGCTCTACATCACATATACCTAAAATATGACACATAATACAGGATACATGATGCATATCACATGACACGATTGCTTAAACCTAAGATATGACACATGACACAGGAAAAATTATACATTTCGCATATCACATGACACGATTGCTCTACATCACACGTACCTAAGATATGACACATAACACAGGATACATGATACATATCGCATATAACATGACACGATTGCTCAACATCACACATACCTATGATATGACACATAACACAGGATACATGATACATATCGCATATCACATGACACGATTCCTCAACATCACATATATCTAAGATATGACACATGACACAGGATACATAATACATATCGCATATCACATGACACGATTGCTCAACATCACATATACCTATGATATGACACATAACACAGGATACATGATACATATCGCATATCACATGACACGATTCCTCAACATCACATATACCTATGATATGACACATGACACAGGATACATGATACATATCGCATATCACATGACACGATTCCTCAACATCACATATACCTATGATATGACACATGACACATGATGTCCGAGTCATGTCAGATTTTCACATCGTGTTATTTTCAGGTCCAGTTTGTTTCACGTTGATGTGGTCACCGCTGACGTTAGCAGCTCCTTCAGGAAATACTGCAAAGTCCGTGTGTATTATGCAACTCTTTGTTTGTGTTATTTCGTCAGTAAACAGCACACAATTTACATTAGCATGACATGATTGGCATGGGAACGAGGCCACAGATCAGATGATTGTAAATAAAACTCATTAAAATCAGATCTAAGTTCTCGCTGCCGCTGAACAAAGATCTGCGGACATCCCATTACGGGTCACGTCAGAACGACTTTTCGCGAACTTTGACCGACTAATGAAATGACTAACAAGAAGTCGACATCAGCCAATTAGAAAGCAGCTCTCTCGCCTTTTACGGCACTCGTTTCAATCTGCCGACTTCCAAGTCAGACTACGCATGAAAAATATGTTTTGAAAACTGAACAAGCGAACATTCCGGATTGTCTGATATATGGTTGAGATTGTATGGCAGTGCTTCCCACGTACTATGCAACGCCCCCTCCATTCGAATGCGAAGCGAGAGATAGAATCGGGACCAGACAATCGAGTGATTGATACGATCCAATGACACACCAGGATAAGATAATCTGATGACAGATTAGCGAATTACATTTTCCTGTATCCGTTAGATATATACACGAACACAAGTTGATTATACACTTTAAATAGTCAGGAAATATATAAAATAGATCATGCCATACCGTTCCTGGGGTCAATTTTACACCTGTTTGCTGTTTCTCTTTGTTGCGTCCCAGGAGGTTGTATCCCACTTGCGTACGTACATCCGCACAGTCTTGATTTGAGGCAGACACAGGGGAAACGCCTTCGGGAATGGTGATCTTACCACTAACCAATAATGGTAAATCAGCATTCACCACAGACACCATGGAACACTTAGGTTTGCAGACTGGAACTGGAAGAGGTTGAGCGAATGGCTGTTGCCGTTGAGGTGAGGTGAAGTGAAATGGGGTTTAACGTCGCGTCCAAGATTATTGCACTTATATAGCGACGTGCATGTACGTGTGTGTGTTTGTGTGGCTCCTTGTACTAGTCCGGACTGATGCCGATTTATAGTGCTAGCTCACTGAGATACCATGCCGCAGTTTAACATAAATACCCCACTCAGACACAGTATACTGACTCCGAGCCGACCAGTCCTTGTTTTAGCCCCTTAATGCCGGGCGCCATACAGGGTAACAACAAGTACCATCTTTTAACGTCTTTGGTTATGACGCGGCCGGGGATCGAACCCTGGACCTTCCGCTCTCCGGGCGGACACTCTACCACTAGACCACGGAGGCGGTCCGTTGCTGTTGAAGTTGATGATGGTGTAGAATGGAAGAATGACAATTTTGTGGGAGCAAATACGCACGCACCTTAAAAACCAGGATGTCAACAACTGTTTTTCTTGTCGTTTTCCTAAGCCAGCTTCATCATACTCGGGGTAGAAATCACCAAAATCACACAGGAGATACACCACTTCGAGGTAAACCAATGCAAAAGCAACATGAGCTGGAAGGCATATCAGTGGGGATCGCTTCACACGTCATCACGTCTAGAGACAACTGATGATTCGAGACAAGCGGAACTCTTTTCTAAAAACATATGAGCAGCATCAAGACTGGCGGTGTACCACCTTACCAATTCTTTTGATGGCGGCTACGTTTACACACCACCGGTTTTCAGGATGGGTAAAAGGTGCCTGGAGCAGTTCCCCATAATCGTCTTTGACGTGGTAGAGAGGACAAAGGACAAAGCCCAATCACTACAGTAAACAGTTCGGTCGTCACTTTTTCCTTTGTTCAGACGAACTCGGATGCCGGGTAACAGAACCTGGGTTGGTGATGTCTTCCTTTGCTGGTGTTTGTGCTGCTGCTGTTGAAAAAATACTTCATCCTTTGCGTCTAAGAGTCTTAAATACAGTCGACCTTCTATGGTGTCCAGGGAAAATTTTGGTTGTTATATATATATGTTGTGTATAGCATTGTCACATGGATGTAAAATGATAATAAATGATGTTGGCAGTCTTTGTACCCATCCAACGTGTCACCCGGCGTTCCAAAGACGCTGCCGTATCCAAGGAAACAAGAAAGGATGATAGCCCAATGGTTTGTTGCCCCTCCTTCAGGAGCTATTGGGACTGCACAAAGTGAGAACAGGACTATACTCTGTGTTGTTGATCTGTGCTAAAAGATTGTACGATTCCGACTGTATCATTAGCATGTGTTTATGAATCACTATCAAACACATCACAAACACATGCAAATGCAAGTCAACTTTTCATCTGAAAAGTCAATATTGGGGGCATAATAGAGGATTCATCACGAGTGTTTTTTAATATGGGAAATATCAACCGAGTCTTAGTTAATCGGTATTTGCCGAGCCTTTGGCGAGGCAAATACCGATTAACGGGACGAGGTTGATATTTCCCATATTAAAAAACACGAGTGATGAATTCTATTTATCATTTTCACATTTTTGCTTCCAAATTAAGGAATAATTGCATTAAACATTAACATCAGCAACTTGTCGAAATCTTACGTATAGATCGTGCGTAGTGATACATGTTTTCCATAGCCATGTAAACCAAAATAAACAATTCGCTGGGAAAAAAAGTTCCTCGGATTATTTTAAACAAAATACTTGAACAGACTTTTGCAGAATAATTGAAACTTTAATAACGGTAACAACAACGATTCTGTGTAATCTGATTATATCTCTGGTGTAACTTCACTTATAATATATAGTTTCAAGTCAAACCGCTCGCTCTTTCGGTTATCTAATTTGCATACTTATGTCATTGGGGTATGACATACATGTTTTTATGTCATAAGCTTATGTCATGGATAAATGCTTTAGTTAAATGATAAATAATGATATCATGTGTTACCGATAAGGTGAGCATATCCTGCCCCACAGATGACATCCGTCACAAACACAAGGCAAGTCAATTGTAGATCAAGAAAAACTTTTTATTTTGTTACTACACCCATAATCCATTGCTATACACAACAGTTGAATCCAATTATTGTCTGACACCAAGACAAAGAGGTTTTTTTTAATATAAGAAATATGGGAAGGATACCTGTACAATTACCATAATCTAACCGAACAGAAACGTTGTTGGACGGCCGTACCTAATCTTTGGTAATGAACACAAAGGAAAATGTATAATCATCCTTGAGTAATTCTGGATTCATCTTTCCAACAATGCTCTCTACACGACCGTATAACTCACTGACAATTACTTCTTTCTCCTCCTTACTCCTGGTACCAGAAAGTCCTGCCAAGAAGGCACTGTTGCTCCAACACCGATGGGCTGACACAAACCTTCTTGCATATCCAGCCCTGTCATCGACGCCCTCGTCTTCCTTCCTTTGTTTCCATTCGTTGTAAACTTCACAAGGAAGGGTGACAACATCAGCTGATAATAAACGCAATCCTGACCGAGATACATTGGAACTGGTATTCTCAAAAGGAGCTTTCAGCAAACTTAAACCTTTATGAAAGCATGCCAGATTCGTATTCACGAATTCAGATTTTGAAATCCTGCCATTATCACAGAACTCCTTCCACGTGGAATTCAACATGTGTAAATAGTTTTCATTGCACAATTTCATCCCTCCTGTTGAGGTGGGGTTATCACTTGGTGCAGATACAACCAGCAGGCCCCCTTTCTTCAGCTCGCGACTCCTGATGGTCAGAAACTTCTCCCAGTCTTCTGACGCCTGTTTCTCAAAACTTTGCCTCACATCAGCTTCTGTCTCTGGGAAGCAGTAGATGAAGTCTTTGTTAACAGGGGGCTTTCCAGAAAGCCAATGTACAGCTGCCATGCATAGTATTATGTGCATTGAGTCAGCAGGGACACACTGCTTATAAAAATGGGTTCCTGAAGCCAAAGCAAAGACGTTCTCGAGATCCTGGAGGTAGGATGGCGGCTTGGGGATTAGACCAGAGAGCCGTCTGAACAAAGAGTTAAAGTCGTTGATCTCTTGGTCTTCATAGATGACCTGGAACTGCACGTCATGGCCATGGTGCTCTCTCAGACTCTCGATCAGTTTCCCCAGGAGCCTCATGGAGGCTGCACCATCAGCAGTTCCGTAGTCGCCGATGTTGTACACGGAGGCCTTATTTGGAAAGGGAACCATCTTGGACAGCTTAAGGAATTCATCCGTTCGTAACAAAATTGTGTATTTCCCGTCTAGGGACCCGAGATTCATGCCATAGTTACCCGAACCAGTCTCTCCAAATGGCAAATGCGCGCCATTATCACACAGATTTACAATGTCCGTCGTCATTGTATTGTGGATGTTGATAGTCAAGTCACAATATATCAGCTGCCTTGTACGTGTGGGTCATTCTGTTCACTGACCTCGTATTCTCGGACCTTTATCGCAACGGCACGTTCGAGACGTGGATGTTAGGGCGATGTCATTGATGTTTGTTTCTTGTATCAGCCCGCTCCTCACATATCGCAAAGTCTGTTCCACCAATACGTGGCACTGACATGTAACTGAAAACACATCAACATTAGATATAGCCATTATTTTGTTACGCGTACACCTAACGGTCTGCCTGAACAGGCTTAACCCGAGGAATTTCTACCCAAACACCCACACTCCACCCCACACCCACACCCACACCCACACCCCACACCCCACACCCCACCCACATAACCTTTACCCTTGGTGTCTTGTAACCAAACAGACTCACACCCTGACCCCGATGACCTTTTACCGAAACACACTCACACCCAGGCAGACTTGACTACTATGGCCTTCAACCTAAACACACTCACGCCCAGATAAACTTGACTGCTATGGCCTTCAACCACAACACACTCACACCCAGGCAGACTAGACTGCTATGGCCTTCAACCACAACACACTCACACCCAGGCAGACTAGACTGCTATTGCCTTCAACCACAACACACTCACACCCAGGCAGACTTGACTGCTATGGCCTTCAACCTCAACACGCTCACACCTAGGAAAACTTGACTACCATGGCCTTCCATCTAAACACGCTCACACCCAGGCAAACATCATTACCACGGCCTTTAACCTCAACACAATCACGCCAATCATCATCATCATTACTACTACTATTACTACTACTACTACTACTACTACTACTACTACTACTACTACTACTACTACAACTACTACTACTACTACTACTACTACTACTACTATTACTACTTCTACCAAAACTATCACGACTACTACTACTCCTACTACTACTACTACTACTACTACTACTATCACGACTACTACTACCATTACTACTGTTATTACTATTATTGCTGTGTACGTGAATTTGGCGTGGCCCTTTCTTTATCGCCTTAATCTTTATACAACTATATAGTGTATCAGTGAGATGTGGGTCAATTTGACGATAAGATAATGGGAAGTAAGTGCTTTTTAGTCATCTAACCACATTGATGTGTTACTGGCTAACACGTTCACTGATCATAACCCATCCCTCTTAATGGGATTGGTGTCTTTTGTAATGGGCTGCGATGTCCCTGTAATGGGCTGGGATGTTCTTGTAATGGTAGGGGTGTCCTTGTAATGGGCTCAGATGCCCTTGTAATGGGTAGGGGTGTCCTTGTAATGGGTAGGGGTAGGGATGTCCTTGTAATGGTAGGGATGTCCTTGTAATGGTAGGGATGTCCTTGTAATGAGCTTGGGTGTCCTTGTAATGGTAGGGATGTCCTTGTAATGGTAGGGATGTCCTTGTAATGGGCTCGGATGCCCTTGTAATGGGTAGGGGTGTCCTTGTAATGGGTAGGGATGTCCTTGTAATGGTAGGGATGTCCTTGTAATAAGCTTGGGTGTCCTTGTAATGGGTAGGGGTGTCCTTGTAATGGTAGGGATGTCCTTGTAATGGTAGGGGTGTCCTTGTAATGGTAGGGATGTCCTTGTAATGGTAGGGATGTCCTTGTAATGAGCTTGGATGTCCTTGCAATGGGTAGGGGTGTCCTTGTAATGCATAGGGATGTCCTTGTAATGGTAGGGATGTCCTTGTAATGAGCTTGGGTGTCCTTGTAATGGTAGGGATGTCCTTGTAATGGTAGGGATGTCCTTGTAATGGGCTTGGGTATCCTTGTAATGGGTAGGGGTGTCCTTGTAATGGGCTGGGGTATCCTTGATATGGGTAGGGGTGTCCTTGTAATGGTAGGGGTATCCTTGTAATGGTAGGAGTGTCCTTGTAATGGGTAGGGGGGTCCTTGTAATGGTAGGGGTGTCCTTGTAATGGGTAGGAGTGTCCATTGTAATGGGCCGGTATGTACTTGTAATGGGCCGGTATGTCCATGTAATGGGTAGGGATGTCCTTGTAATGGGTAGGGGTGTCCTTGTAATGGGTAGGAGTGTCCCTTGTTATGGGTAGGAGTGTCCTTGTAATGGGTAGGGGTGTCCTTGAAATGGGTAGGGGTGTCCTTGTAATGGGTAGGAGTGTCCTTGAAATGGTTAGGGGTGTCTTTGGTTTTGGCCGGTATGTCCTTGTAATGGGTAGGGGTGTCCCTTGTAATGGGTACAGGTGTCCCTTGTAATGGGTATGGGTGTCCTTGTGTTGGTAGGGGTGTCTTTGTAATGGGCCGGTATGTCCTTGTAATGGGTAGGGGTGTCCCTTGTAATGGGTAGGGGTGTCCTTGTAATGGGTAGGGGTGTCCTTGTAATGGGCCGGTATGTCCTTGTAATGGGCCGGTATGTCCTTGTAAGGGGCCGGTATGTCCTTGTAATGGGTAGGAGTGTCCCTTGTAATGGGTCGGTATGTCCTTGTAATGGGTAGGAGTGTCCCTTGTAATGGGTAGGAGTGTCCCTTGTAATGGGCCGGTATGTCCTTGTAATGGGCCGGTATGTCCTTGTAATGGGCCGGTATGTCCTTGTAATGGGTAGGGGTGTCCTTGTAATGGGTAGGGGTGTCCTTGTAATGGGTAGGGGTGTCCTTGTAATGAGTAGTAGTGTCCTTGTAATGGGTAGGAGTGTCCCTTGTAATGGGCCGGTATGTCCTTGTAATGGGCCGGTATGTCCTTGTAATGGGCCGGTATGGCCGGTATGTCCTTGTAATGGGCCGGTATGTCCTTGTAATGGGCCGGTATGTCCTTGTAATGGGCCGGTATGTCCTTGTAATGGGTAGGGGTGTCCTTGTAATGGGTAGGGGTGTCCTGATAATGGGTAGGGGTGTCCTTGTAATGGGTAGTAGTGTCCTTGTAATTGGTAGGAGTGTCCCTTGTAATGGGCCGGTATGTCCTTGTTATGGGTAGGAGTGTCCCTTGTAATGGGCCGGTATGTCCTTGTAATGGGTAGGGGTGTCCTTGTAATGGGCCGGTATGTCCTTGTAATGGGCCGGTATGTCCTTGTAATGGGTAGGGGTGTCCTTGTAATGGGCTGGTATGTCCTTGTAATGGGCCGGTATGTCCTTGTAATGGGTAGGAGTGTCCCTTGTAATGGGCCGGTATGTCCTTGTAATGGGCCGGTATGTCCTTGTAATGGGCCGGTATGTCCTTGTAATGGGCCGGTATGTCCTTGTAATGGGCCGGTATGTCCTTGTAATGGGTAGGGTTGTCCTTGTAATGGGTAGGGGTGTCCTTGTAATGGGTAGGAGTGTCCTTGTAATGGGTAGTAGTGTCCTTGTAATGGGTAGGGGTGTCCTTGTAATGGTTAGTAGTGTCCTTGTAATGGGTAGGGGTGTCCTTGAAATGGGCAGGGGTGTCCTTGTAGTGGGTTGGGGTGTCCTTGTAATGGGTAGTCGTGTCCTTGTAATGGGTAGTAGTGTCCTTGTAATGGGTAGTAGTGTCCTTGTAATGGGTAGTAGTGTCCTTGTAGTGGGTAGGTGACCTTGTAATGGGTAGGAGTGTCCTTTGTAATGGGTAGGGGTGTCCTTGTAATGGGCAGGGGTGTCCTTGTAGTGGGTAGGTGACCTTGTAATGGGTAGGAGTGTCCCTTGTAATGGGTAGGGGTGTCCTTGTAATGGGTAGGGGTGTCCTTGTAATGGGTAGTAGTGTCCTTGTAGTGGGTAGGTGACCTTGTAATGGGTAGGAGTGCCCTTGTAATGGGTAAGGGTGTCCCTTGTAATGGGCAGGGGTGTCCTTGTAGTGGGTTGGGGTGTCCTTGAAATGGGTAGGGGTGTCCTGATTATGGGTAAGGGTGTCCCTTGTAATGGGTAGGGGTGTCCCTTGTAATGGGTAGGAGTGTCCCTTGTAATGGGTAGGGGTGTCCCTTGTAATGGGTAGGAGTGTCTTTGTAATGGGCAGGGGTGTCTTTGTAATGGGCCGGTATGTCCTTGAAATGGGTAGGGGTGTCCTTGTAATGGGTAGGGATGTCCCTTGTAATGGGTAGGGATGTCCCTTGTAATGGGTAGGGGTGTCCCTTGTAATGGGTAGGAGTGTCTTTGTAATGGGTAGGAGTGTATTTGTAATGGGCAGGGGTGTCTTTGTAATGCGCCGGTATGTCCTTGAAATGGGTAGGGGTGTCCCTTGTAATGGGTAGGAGTGTCTTTGTAATGGGTAGGAGTGCCCCTTGTAATGGGTAGGGGTGTCCCTTGTAATGGGTAGGAGTGTCCCTTGTAATGGGTAGGGGTGTCCTTGTAATGGGTAGGAGTGTCTTTGTAATGGGTAGGAGCGTCTTTGTAATGGGTAGGAGTGTCCCTTGTTATGGGTAGGAGTGTCCCTTGTAATGGGTAGGGATGTCCCTTGTAATGGGTAGGAGTGTCCCTTGTAATGGGTAGGGGTGTCCCTTGTAATGGGTAGGGATGTCCCTTGTTATGGGTAGGAGTGTCCCTTGTAATGGGTAGGGATGTCCCTTGTTATGGGTAGGAGTGTCCCTTGTAATGGGTAGGGGTGTCCCTTGTAATGGGTAGGGGTGTCCCTTGTAATGGGTAGGGGTGTCCCTTGTAATGGGTAGGGGTGTCCCTTGTAATGGGTAGGAGTGTCCCTTGTTATGGGTAGGAGTGTCCCTTGTAATGGGTAGGGGTGTCCCTTGTAATGGGTAGGAGTGTCCTTGTAATTGGTAGTAGTGTCCTTGTAATGGGTAGGAGTGTCCTTTGTAATGGGTAGGATTGTATTTGTAATGGGTAGGAGTGCCCCTTGTAATGGGTAGGGATGTCCCTTGTTATGGGTAGGAGTGTCCCTTGTAATGGGTAGGAGTGTCTTTGTAATGGGCAGGGGTGTCTTTGTAATGGGCCGGTATGTCCTTGAAATGGGTAGGGGTGTCCCTTGTAATGGGTAGGAGTGTCTTTGTAATGGGTAGGAGTGCCCCTTGTAATGGGTAGGGGTGTCCCTTGTAATGGGTAGGAGTGTCCCTTGTAATGGGTAGGGGTGTCCTTGTAATGGGTAGGAGTGT